TCTGTATCTCCTCTCCGTGTATCTTCCTTTCCAATAAAAATATAAGATAAATCATAAAAACAAAACAAAAAAAGAAAAAAAGAAAAAAAGGGGGGTGCATTCCAAAACTAGATCTGCCTGGCTGCCCGGTCATCTCCTTTCTCCCCCATCCCATGAGCTATCTCAGGCATGCACTGATGGCACCGGTGGGAGACAGCAGGGTAATCCGATTTGTGATGCTCAACCTCCTTGCCTCAAGAGCTGGATGGCCTGCAAGAACTTATCCACATCCTGGAACTGACGGCCACTTGTAGCATGACGACCGACCGCCGCAGCCGGGGGCTCAGGCACCACGGACGTGGATGTGTGGGGCAGAGGCATGCTTGCAAATGGAAACAGAGCCTTTGGGAGGCTCCATGTCATGCCACGGTGGCCAGGGCACAGGGCTTGGAGGCGGGGTGTGTGAATGGGATAGATAGCAGAAGGTGGGAGCTGTGCGTCAAGGAGAATAGGTTTGGGGTTGCGGGCATAGAAGGGTTCTCAGAGTGTGTTCAGGGACTCAGCAGTCAAGGCCAGGTCACAGCCTGGTTAGGGAGAGGAGACCTCCACGTCAGCTTGGAGGGGGCCTTAATCCAGCTGAATCTCTCTCTTTGAAGTCAGTGAAGCCCCCGTGGCAGAGAGCAAGCAAGGGCTGCTCTCTTGGGCTGATGGGAGATGGACAGGAGTCTGGGTCTCACTTTTATTAATTTATTATTTAGTTAATTTGTTTATTTGTAGGTCTCACTTTTACGTGATGGGGACTCACTCTGTTTCAATCCGGCTGGAGACCGTTCCATTCAGAGCAAACACTTTTCCACCCAGGCTGAGGGAGCTTTCCCGAATGGAGGGAGACACAGACAGGGTTCGTTCTCCAGAGATGGGGAGGGCTATTACAGTCAGGTCCACCCAGAGGGGCAGCCACATGCATACACCAGCTGCTTCCGCAGGAAAAAGTACAGCTGTGCTCCACACACAGCCATCAGAACCCCCCGAACAACAGCCCCACCCCCCCACACACATACACAGGCGTGGTCCTCCTGAGTCTGGCTTGTGGCCGCCGGCTCCCTCTCACTAGCCTTCACAGGCCCCATTTCCGCTACGATGGCTGCTAAATGGAGTTCAAACTTCGGCTGGAGAGGCTTGGATCTCAGCACAGGCGGGGGAAGGAGGCTGGGGAAGGTGGGGTGGGGAAGTCCTCATGGTCAAGGGGCCAAAAAGATGGAAGGATAAATAACCCGGGTCAGGGAATTTCACAATCAACTGACCCTCCTCCACCAGCAATGCTGGCAACCCACCCAGCTGCTGCATGTCTTTTTCTTATTGAAGTAAACAGATTTTGTTTTGCTTTGTTTTTAAGATTCACCTATTTTTAGTGAAAAGGGAGAAGGAAAGACAGAGAGCAAATTCTTCCATCCAATGATTCACTCCGCAAGTGACCACAATGGCCAGAGCTAAACCAATCCAAAGCCAGGAGCCAGGAACTTCTTCCGGGTCTCCCACACGGGTGCGGGGGTCCAAGGCTTTGGGCCATCCTCGACTGCTTTCCCAGGCAGGGAGCAGGGTATGGGAAGTGGTGCTGCCGGGATTAGAACCAGTGCCCATATGGGATGGATTCCAGTGCGTTCAAGGTAAGTACTTCAGCTGCTAGGCTACCGCACCGGGTCCCCATTTCTGATCCAGCTTTACCAGCCGCCCCACAATGCTGACATTTCTTTCCCCATCTCCCTCCTACCCCTCCCCTCCCTGTCTGCATCTCTGTCTCTCTAACAAATGAAAAACCTCCACTACACCGAAACAAAGTGATAGTGGATTCCCTTTTTGACTAGTCATTAAGATGACTCACGTGCCAGTGTGACAAAAGGAGTATCCATATTGAATTCCTGACTGCAGCCAACAACTCCAGCTGCCTGCAAATGGAGATTCTGCGGGCTCCGTTCTCACTGCGAGGCTAAATAAATAAAGCAGAAGCATTGTTATTTTTTTACTTAGTGAATTTATTTATTGTAGTTGGAAAGTCTAAGTAACAGAGAGAGAACACCCATCCAGTGATTCACTCCCTTCCTAAGTGGCTGCAGCATAGCCAGGCCAAGCTTTAGCTGGCAGCCAGGAACTGCCCCCAGGTCAGCTATGTGGTTGTGCAGAAGCTCAAGGACTGGGTCCAACCATGCTGCTTTCATAGGTTACAAGCAGGGTGCTGGATCGGGAAGTGGAGCAGCATCCCATGTGGTGTGCTGGCACTGGCAGGCAGAGGGTCCGTCTGTTACAGCAACCACTGTGCCAACCTCTACCATGTTTTTTGGGGCACAGATGTGAGTGCAGAGGAGGGCTGCCTTCCAAAACACACAAATAAATAAATAGTGGTTCTGCTTGTCTAAGTGACAGAAGTACATCCACATAGTTCAGGTGATGGATGGAAGAGTGAATCAAAATGCCAATGGGAAGGCCACATCAGAAGGGAGCCTCCTGAGAACCACTCATGGTCTGCCCCATGCAAGCAGTGGCCACATCCCATTTTGTAGTCCTAGAGCGAAGGGGACTTACTGACTCTGGCTGACCTTTGCCCGAGACAGAGAGGCAGATCCTTTCACTGACAAACGCGTGAGGGCAGGAAGGTTCTGGGTGGAGTGGAGAGAAAGTGAAGCCTTTGGCAGACAACAGGGGAATCATCTGCATTTCAATGAAGGCAATGAATGAGGCCTCTTGGAAGTGAGTGAGGGGTTGAGTCCCGCAAAGGGAAGGCTGCTGCTTTCCTGGGGCACGCATACGCGCACCCTCACACACACACTCTCATTCTAACAGGAGGGAGGGTGTGCCCTCCCCCACACATCCAGGTCCTGGTGCCCTGGATCTGGCTCTGACTCTGACCTGGGATAGGAGACGGGGATTAGGGAGGTGACTTGCAAAAGATACACAAGACTCACCACCTGTGGCTGCCGGGACTTAAGCATAACTTCCCTCCCTCCTTCCCTGAGGTTGTGGGGAGGAGTGTGGTAGCAAAACTTCTGCTTGTCGTGACAGAGAACATCCTGTTACTTGGAAGGCAGGCAGGCAGGCACTTTTGTTTTGTTTTGTTTCTCCTCTTGGGTGTCACTGGTGCACCCCATTGTACTCCATAGGGAAACCACCTTCACTCACAGTGGTTCATTAGCCAGGACACACTGGCAGGAGAGGGCCGCTTTTTATTTACAGCATCCTATTGCCAGGATCAAAGAGTCTGAGAAAACAGAGAGAGCAAAGGAAAAAGTTGGGTTGTTCGGGACTCCTTAAAGAAGAAACCACCATCTGAATGCATGTTGTGCCACCCACGTGGGAGAAATTTTTGTCAAAGTCCTCCCCCTCCATGCCACACCTTCCCCCCAGTCCACCACTCAGCATTCTGGCTTCTGAATAAATTGTTACGGGATGCAGCCAGTGATAGCCAGCACCCATTGACAGTGGGTAAATGAAATGTGGCTGTGTCCCCTACCCTCTGTCCTGAAGGTGGGTCCTAACAGCAATGGAGTGTTAATTCCACCCTCAGCCACTCCCCCTACCACCTAGGTATTGGCTCCTGCCCACCTGTGACTCTCCTATCAACTGAGAGGGGGTGGTATTGCATTGTTGTAACCACTCCCCTCACAAGCCCCTTTAAAGGGCCCTTGAAGCAGGGGCTCGCTCTCTTTCTGGTCATGTTCTCTGGCACCTCAACTCTTGGCTGACCCAGGACAGGTGATCCCCCTGAGCATGGTCCCCGTGTACTGCTTAGATGGGACAATGGATATAGCAATGCTGTTTCTGGTTTGTGTACTATCAGGAATTGCAGGAGAGGTGAGGCCTAGCAGTGATGGAATGTGGGCAGAGAAGCCAGGGAAAGGTGAATGTCAGCAGCTTTGTAAGTGTGTCCAGGTTACTCGTTGCATGTCTCTTAGGATAACTTACATTGCTGGGGAAGCTGGGACATAGGTCTTCAGCTTAACGGATGGACTGAAGGGTAATGACCATTTGTTCCTCTTGGGGTTATGTTTGATCGGACTGTGATTGGTACTTGTAATTTGTTGTTTCTAGTGTGCTCTACTATCACCAAGCTTGATTAATAAAGACTCCTTTATAAACCTTAGACATGTCTGGTCGCACTCTGTAACAAAATCAAACACATGCTTTAAGGTTTTGTTTTCTCTCACCTGGCTCAGCACAATCACACCCACCTTTGCAGTGTTGTCACCAATGGCTGCCACCTGGTGCCCAATGTCTGCATCTTAGGAATGTTAAATGGACTTCAACAACCTGGTGTTGAATGTCTTTTTCTGCTCCACTGAAGGCAGCAAAATAAGATCTCTCTCTCCACCCCCCAAGCCCAAACTGTCTGGAATATTTAAGTGGGCATTTTCCTTCAATGTGAAAGCCAGGTCTGTTCTTGGGTTTTCGTATTTTTAAGACCCATTTCCTTATTCATTTGAAAGCCAATTATGGGAGAGAGGGAGATTTGTGAGCAAGTTTGTTTGGAGTGAGGAAGGGAGGAGTGTGTGGGTCAAAAGGAGATGGGAGGGAGGAAGAGAGAGGGGAGAGGACAGAGGAAGAGAGAGGGGCAAGGACGAGCAAAGAGCGAGCTCTGTGAAGAGACTCTCCCACCCACAACTTCCTTCCCCATGTGGCTAATGCTAATGGTTGGAATTCTCTTTCAGTTGCAACCTTTTCTCTTTGTCATCGTGTCCTTCCAATAAGGAAACAGAGAGGATGGAGAGAGCCAGAGAGCAAGTGAGCCAAAAATGTTGAAACCACAGTACCACCACTACTACCACCATGACAACAGTGCTGTTTTCCTTTCTTTAAAAATAAAGAAAGGAAGGAAGGAAGGTAGAATCTTCCACCCACCAGTTCACCAGGAGCATTCCAGAAGGTATGCAATCCTGGTTCTCAGTGCCACACAACTCTGTTTAGGATACAAACAGGTTTTTCAACAGTTTTTACCTCAAACCTGTGTGTGTGTCCACGTGTGAAAACTAACCATTTCTGACTTAACGTGGACAGAACCTCAACCTCAACAACTAAACCAATGGGCCCCGGAGTCCCACCCGAAGGTGTTTATGTGGCATTTTGATGAGATATTCAGCCAAAGCTCAAAGAAAGAAGTGAGGAGAGCCTACTGGGGGGAAAAAATGGGTGGTGGAAATTATGAATGTAAATACAAGTGACCTGAATTCCAGGAGTGAGTGGAATTTACCGACACTGTCTGGGGCACCTTTGTGTCAGGACAGTGTGGGGAGAGATGTCATTTCCAGTGTTCCCTAACCTAAGGGAAACTTGTGGGAAGAGTAGCATGCTCCGCACCAGTCATGAAAGCTTTGCAGGTACACAAGATACACGTCCTAAACTCCACAGCCAGAGAGAAGTTGCAGAGCATGCACATGATTTCCTCACCTTCAATTCAAGCGCTCTTTCACAAAGTACTGTTGGATGAGTAGAGAATTCAGAACTTTGGTGAACGAATGGAGCATTCCAGATGGTACAGAATCCTGGGTCTCAGTGCCACATGACTGTGTGTTCTGAAGGGACCCTGGACAGAAACAGGTATTCATCAGCTTTCACCTCTACCCTGTATGTGTGCACCTGTATTGCAGGCTTTCCCAGACACTAAAGCACTGTTTGCAGACTCTGGGGTAGGTTGGCATGGTGGTATGACAGCAGCACTGGTGCTGAAGTCCAGGCTGCTCCAGGTAGGTCTGTTATGATGCCCCTCTCTCTCTTCCAGCAGAAGCTGGCCCAGTGCTTGGGACCCCACCCAAAGCACAAGCAGCCAGTGGTGGGTATCCGTATGTGGTTGTCTCGCCATAAGGTAGAGAAATCCATGCCATGCCGCATCCCCACCACCACCAGCAAGGCTAAGCAAGATCCCAGGGGACCAAGGAGGAGCAGGAGGGATTCTCCCCACAGTCAGCCTGGGCTGAAGTCAAGTCATGTGGTATAGTTGGGGGCAGGAAGAAGAGGGGCCAGCATGGGCTGCTCTAAAAGCAGTAATTGGGTCAGTTGAATCCCTAGAAGCATATTAAGCCACCCACCGCCAGCCAGCCAGCCAAAAGCACGCCAGCATCTGCTATGGGTGGTGATTCTCTGTTCCCAAGTTCCAGCTCCCTGCTAAAGCAAGCCGAGGAAAGACAGCCTGGAAGCTTGTCTGCTTGTCGCTACAACTGCAGGAGAAAGACCAACCAGTCCACCCACCTGGATGGCACACTGGTGTGTGTGTGTGCGCACATGCACCTGGCTGCAGTCAGTGTTTCACCAAATCGTCAGCCTCAAGCAGAAGTTAGTGGCTCAGAAGAAAGCTTTGTCAATCGGGGGACATAATGGAAGTAGATGGTGGCAGGAAGGTCAGGCTCCCACAATCACAGCAGCAAGGCAGGCACAGGTAGGGGCATTCAGGAAGCAGAAATGTGGGTGCTGTTGGGCGTGTCAGGGGGTGAGGGGATTGCGGCTGGGGGCAGGATGGGCCCTTTCAGGAGCAGCAGAAAAGACACGTCCTTTTCATCAACCTCTTGTTCCCAACGAGGTGCTCCCTCCACCCAGCAGTTGCCTTCCCCTGAAATAAATGAGCAGTGAGTGCCAGCCACAGAGTTGCTAGCTTCCGATCACTGCGTCCATTCATCCTACGTGTGCCCAGTTAGTTCCTGTTCTGTCCCAGCACCTCTTTTCTTTTCCGTGTGTGTGTGTGTGTGTATGTGTGTGTGTCCCCGTCTGTCCCCTAAAGCACAAGTCCCTAACTCATTCTTCCCTACCCCCAGCTCCGATCCCGGCCCCAGCCACCTGTTTTGCCTGGATCTCTTTTCTAGGCTGGGACACAGCACACGTGGGCATCTTGGTGGTTTAGTGTTGGACTAATTAGCGAGCAGGCCGGGTGGGAAGGAGCTGCGGGCAGTGTTATGCTGCCCCAGGTGGGCAAGCAGAGGCAGGCCATCACCCAACGTTGAGGCCAGCTTCCCGAGATGGAATGAGTACTCCTTTCTCTAAAGAAATGGGAAAATAAAATGCATAAGTCAATCAATGAGTCAGTCAAAAAATTAAATTTAAAATTTAAACAGTTTTTAGAAAGACTCCCCCAGAATACAGACAGCAAGAAAGCAAGTCAGTTAAAAATTAAACATCTAAACAATAGAAAAAAATGGTGGAGGGATGGAAAAGAGGGGACAGAGGGAAGAGGGAACTTTTAAGAAGACTGACAAGGCAACAGCATGACACGAAAAGTAAGCAGCTCAGCAGCGACAGCAACTGGCGACAGCACACGTACTGGTGCATGCCAATTGCCACAGGGCACCTGGTCGACTGCTGCCGAGGCCTTTGAGAGGCAACTGGCAGCAACCAGTGGACCTACCTGTGTGAGACTGTCACCAGGCAACTGGTCGACTCGTGACCCGGACCAAGCCACTGGCTCCTAACTTCAGACTGGCTCTGGCAGCCACTTGGGGAGTGACAGAAGACCTTTCTCTCTCCCCATCTCTCTGTGTATCTGACTTTCCAATGAAGACAATTTTTAAAACTTACCCATTGACTTTAAAATGTCTTTGTAACAAAACTTTTTTTAAAATTCCATGTTCCACACAGTTTTTGCAGTACCCTGTATCATTTCTGCCTTATTTTCTCTTTCAAGGACTCAAATATTATAGAAGACTTTTATGAACCAGTAGTTCTCTTACCATTTGGCTTATGTTCTATCTTTCTTCTCTCCTTGCTTCAATTAAGATGATTTCCTCTTTTATCTTCCAAGTTTGCAAAAGCTTAAGGCTTGACTCTCAGCTGCTGCTTCCTAAGACAGCAGTTTGAAGGCAAATATGGCCCCAATCACGCCGGTCTCCCCTCTCTGGGCTTTCTTCTTCTTGACTCGTCTCCTAAGGACAGATTCTGTTGGCAACACTTGGTTTTTAAGAAGAATGGTTTCTTACTGTGTTACTCAATCTGCCATTATCAGCACCAGAATCTGCAGTGTGGTTATTTACAACAGCTTCAACAAGCTTTGATCTGTCTACCAAGATAGAAATAGATTATTTCAATTTGTAACAAAACATAAGACACGATTTATTTAAAGACAAAATCGATTTCCTTACATAAGACAAAGTCACAAATGAGTGTATGGTCAAAATGGAGGGACTAGTGCTGTGGAGTAACCAGTTAAGCCACCCTGCTCATAGCCTGGAAAAGAAGTTGGCCTAAGTTCTTGGATCACTGCCACCCACGTGGGTGACCCAGATGAAGCCCCTGGCTCCTGCCTTCGACCTGGCCCATTCCTGGCTACTCGGACTTTGGCGAGTGAACTCGCTGATGGGAGATATCTGCCTCTGTCTTCCCTTCTCCCACTCTAATCCTGACTTCAAATTTTAAAATCAAAACAAAACAGAAATGCCAATGACTACAGACAGGTATGATCTACGGCTGCAGGTTAAGGTTCCTTGTCCGACCACGAGGTGCTGGGATTGGATAATCCATGTCTACTTCCTAGCTGCAGGTTCCTGCTAATGCAGATCCTGAGATGGAGTAGTAATGGCTCAAGTGATGTGAGGTCCTGCCACCCATGTGGGAGACTTGACCGAATCCTTAACACCAGCTTCAACCCTCCTAGCCAGCAGATATATGCCTTTGAACACTGAGCCAGTGGATGGGAACTATTTGTCTATCTGTGTTTCTTTATCTCTCTATTTTTCAAATAATTACCTTCTTAAAAATTTATTTTTTTTAACTGGAAGGCAGATTTATGGAGAGAAGGAGACAGATAGAAAGACCTTCTATCTACTGGTTCACTCCCCAAGTGGCGGCTATGGCCAGAGCAGGGCTGATACGACGCTGGGAACCAGGAGCCTCTTAAGGGTCTCCGACATAGGTGGATGCAGGGTCCCAAGGCTTTGGGCCACCCTGGACTGCTTTCCTAGCCCACAAGCAGGGAACTGGATAGGAAGCAGGGCAGCTGGGACACAAATTGGCATCCATATGGGATCCTAGGACATGCAAGAAAAGGTCACTAGGTCACTAGTAGCCACTAGGCCACTGCACCAAGCCCCAACATTTTTTTGAAGTATTATTTCATAATCAGGAAATACAGCTTTAACATTTAATATCTCTGCAATGCTTCCACTCTGTAAAACTTCTATAGCACCATAAACAAGATTAAGGAAGCTTGAATAAACTTTTCCTATCTATGTTACGTAATTGCTTAAAAATATTAAATTGCTCTAAAATCACTTCAAAAACTAAAGCTACAAAAGAAACGTTCACTAAAAGAATCTGTACTTTGTTGTTTTATGCTGAAGATCAGCTTTACATCTACATCAGCTTGAGAACAGTTGGAAAGCAAAAGTGTAAAAAGTACCAAACAAAGCCTGTGGGAGAAAAAGAAACAAAGAGTTCACATCTGTTTTTCTAAAAATAACTTCTCCTTTTTTCAGAAATCTAAAATCCTGGTGCATACATATACACAAACATACACACACACATACAAATCTTCCATGCATTTGTCATTTTCCAAATGCCTGCAGAAGCCCAGGCTGCCCTGGCCCAGCCCTGGAGCCCAGCACTCAGTGCAAGCCTCCCATGTGGGCTAGCAGGGACCGAAGTACTTGAGCCATGACTGCTGCCTCCCCAGGTACCCATACCCAGGAATCTGGACGTGGAAACAGAGCCAAGTTCAAACACAGGCACTCTCATATTCTCTATGGGAATCTCAAGTGGTGCCAATTTCTATTGATTTCATGTTCACTTTAAAACTCGTTCAATTTTTTCTTTTAGAACTTGTCTGGAATTGACTTTGCTTTCCTATATAATCAAAAAGCCATCATATTTTGGGGAACATAAAAGATATCTCCATCTAAGTTATAAAATTTCTTTCAAGTGGACACAAGTGCCCAGTTAGCCTAGTTTTTTATATCACTCCTAGTAAATATGTGATCGAAGTCTAGGTAAGGGACAAACAGTAAGAGAAGAGGGAAGGTGAACAGAGGGGTGAGACTTCCAATCAAGACTCTAGGAGACGACGCCAGCACTGCGCTGCAGCTGTCACTATGGCACTGACATCCATATAGATTGTAGGGAGTGTCAGTGTGAGCATCCACTTCTCGGCTTCCGATCCAGCTCCCGGCTGTGTGCTTTTGGGAAAGCAGAAGATGGCCCAAGTATCTGGACCTCAGCCACCAGGATGGGAGACCAAGATGGAGTTCCTGGCTCCTCTTTTTGGTCTAGCCTCGACCTAGCTTTTGCAATATGGACCAGGACATAGAAGATCAGCTCAGGAACCTTTGACCTCATCCAACCCCAAACATTCCACTCATTTGGTCAGTGAACCAGCAAAAGTCCCTCTCTGTAACTCCGCCTTTCAAATAAATACATCTTAAAGGGGGAAAAAGTATAGCTTTTATCTGTAGGGAAAAAAAAAAAACCTAAACACTGAAATGCCATATGATCCAGCTATCCCACTCTGGAAATATATCTAAAGGAAATTAAATCTGCATGAGAAAAGGATCTATAATCCTATATTACAGCAGCACAATCTATAATAGCAAAGACATGGAAACAGCACAGATGCCCATCAAAAGAGGAATGGATGAAGAAATTCTGTTACACCTACTCTATGGAATACTACTCAGACATTAAAAAGAATAAACATTTACATTTGCACCAAATAGTCCCAAGTAGAGACCATTATGTTCAGTGAAATCAGTCCCACTCTGAAGAAATCAAAACTGGAAACTGGAAAGTGATTAAACTGCGGTTTAATAAATGAGAAACAAAACGAAGCTTGTAACAGAAATCCATCCCTACACTCCTACAGAAGGTCTTGTCCTAAAGACATCCTTGCAATCATGAACCAATGCACATGTTGATATCTTTAAGATACAGATGTCATTTGATTTTGTCCTTAAGTTTTCAAGCTTCTTCAATCAACCATTGTAGTTATATTGTACAAGAGGATCTCAACTCTACAATACCCTCATCCAGGAGACTCAAATCCAAAGAAACAATTTAAAATGATGTATGAATTTGAGAGGGTGACAAGGAGAGATGGGGAAGCAGACAGAAATATTCCACACTCTGTTCATGGCCCAAAGACTCACAACAGCCAAGGCTGGACCAGGTCAAAGCCAGCAGCCAGAAACTCCAGCCAGGTCTCCCATGTGGTGGCAGGGCACAAGCACTTAGGCTTTCTTCTGCTGCTGTCCCAGGTGCACTGGGAAGAAGCTGGAACAAAAAGGAGGCATTTGGGATTTGATTTCGCACTTATTGATGAGATGCCAACATGAAAAGCAGTAGCTTAAACTACTGTAACACAGAATCAGCCCCATAACAACTTTTTAAATAAAAAGTAAGATAGGCAGATATATCATAAATAAGACTGATTAATGTATATTTAAATAATGTTCAGTTCAACCAAATTTAAAATCAAACACATAATCCAGTTCAACTTTCCCCACATTTTAAGTGATAAATAGTAGGGGTTAGGTTTAGCGGTTAGCTTGCATAGAAGTGACAGAGAATTAGAAAAACAATCATGACTTTCGGAGGGTCCTGATTTGCCATACTGCAAATAAAGTGATAAGCAGACAGGATGACACTGACAGAATATAACAAAAAATATATTAGCAAATGAAAAAAAAAAAAAAAACCAAACAGATATGGGCACTGGAGGATATTATCACAATAAGATGGCATGAATTGTTTATATCATCTTAGTCTCTACCCCTTGATATCTGGAAGAGAATACTCCATGAATTTTAAACATATACATTAAAAATTTACAACAGTACAGTTCAGACTAAGAAAGTATTTACAAGAAAAACTGCAACGCAAACCACAAAGTACAAATCTATCTGAGAGGAATTTGCATAAATTAGAAATCTGCTGACACCAGCATGATGGCAATGTACATGAAAACACCCCCTGCAATTCCAATTTCCCATTTGTGTGGCAGTTCACATCTAGCTCCCTGCTTATGGACCTAGGAAAAACAGAGCATAAAGTTCAAGTGTTTGCGCCTCTGCACCCACATGGGAGAAGTGGGTGAAGCTCCTGGTTTCTGGCTTCAGTTGGCTCAGTCCCAGCCATTGTGGCCATCTGGGGCAGTGAACCAGCAAGTTGAATCTCTCACTTTCTATAAACCTTTCAAATAAATAAATCTTTTTTTTTTTTTTTTTAAAGTCCTAGTGCCTGAGTTGTGGCCCAGCAAATTAAGCCATTGCCTCAGTGGTGACATCCCACATGAGAATGGGTTAAAGTTCCAGCTGCCCCACTTACAATGATCTTGGCAAAAAAAACAAGTTCTTTTGACCCTACTGCTTTCAAGAGAAACCTGGGAAGAGTTCCCGGCCCTAGGCTTAGGCCTGGCCCCGCAATGGCCACTGAGGCCATTTAGGGAGTGACTAGTAGATGGAGGAATTCTATTTTTGTAACTTTGCCTTTAAATCAACAACATCAACAACAACAAAACATATCAACATAGTCAAAGGCACCAAATTAGGGTTGATACTGTGGCACAAATGTTAAGGTGCCAAATACAATGCTGGTATCTCTGGTACTGGTTGAAGTCCCAGCTGCTCCACTTCTGATTCAGCAACCTGCTAATGTGCCTGGCTGTCAGGGTCCCTCGGCCAGCAAGTCAAACCCAGACACTTGTTGTCTTTGTGGAACCTTTATTGTAGAGATGACACAGCAAAACCGGTGCACAGCGGCTGTGCGGTGGCCGCCATGCAGCCGCTGCGCAGCCGCCACATTGCGAGGCGCGCAGCAGCTACATCTTGGCGAGGCACGCTCTCTCCCTCTCTCCCCCTCTCCGGTTCTCTGGCTCCCTTATATATTGGGTAACCCGGCCAATCAACGTAAAGGTCACCTGTGCACGCAGCGGGCAGGCCAATCACCACACAGATCACGCGCTGTCCACATGCCATCCACGCACCCCTGGGCCAATCACAGCAGACTTCCTGAGACTTGTTTTTTCTACCACAGCAGGAAGCAGCAGTTCGGCGCCTGTCTGTCTAGGGTGTGGGATGCAGGCTCCCTACAGCTCCCCACACCTGGCAAAGCAATAGAGAATGGACCCATATGCCCACGAATGAGAGCCAGCTAAACCTCCTGGGCCTTGCTCTTTTAGATATTTGGGGAATGACCCAAAAAATCGGAGATCAATTTCTTTGTCTCTCTCTCTCTAATTGCAAGTCTCCCAAATGAATATTTAAAAATAAATAAGTAAAATACATATATACAAGAGCCACAAAAAATCTATTTAAAAAGACTCTGAACTAATCACAATATGTACAAAATTCTTATCACTCAGAAAGTGGCACTCAGGTGCTTCTCTAGTTTGTTTATCTGCCCTAAGTGTTCACTTTAGACCCAACAGGTTTCAGCAAGTGTCTAACAGAGCATAACACGCGTAGCTCAGAAACACCCTCTGTTCACCACATGCACACCACCTGTTAGTTTCATGAGGGATCTGCCCTGCCACTACTGTTACAGGTCACTAAAATCATCCAGTAACTGAAAAGGAAGTAATACCCAATTCTGACAGGTTAAACAGGGAAACCTATGAGCATACAGAGGGAAAATATCATATTGAGAAAAAAATAAAGACCGAAGAATTAGCTACCAAAAACAGTAAAAATACAGTCAATTCTCATTAATCATACTTGAAAAAGTTCTTTAAAAAAACTGATAGTATCAGTAATGATACAAATTTGAAGCAGGAGACACACTCATTATGAAGACAACTGAAAAAAATCACACTAGACTTGCTGAAGGTACCTGTGTAGTGCAATGCAACACTGAGCGTTCACATACGAATTGATTCATTAATTCCCGTTCCAAAATCTAATCCAAACTGCAATGTGGATAAAATATACATATAATGATTTTCACGGCAGAACTATTGCAATGATAAAAACTAGAACTATATCGACTGAGATAGTTTAAAAATATAATATACTCAAAGGGAAAATCAAAAGCAACCAGTAAAAAAGAATTTTTCTTGAAAAGTTACATTGTTAAAGACAAAAGGTAAGTTAATGCTATGAGTAGTATGACTCCAAAAAAATTTTAAATTATTTGTATGTAAGTTCACAATGAACAGCTGGCTTCCCTGGTACATTCTGGAGGTAGGTTGCTATGCTGAAACTTCTCTGACCAGGGAACTCTGAAGATGAAGTAGGAAGGCTTTCTTGCAGTGATCATGCTTACATGACATGACTCCTGATCCAAGGAGTGTCAACTTTCTCTTTCAGAAAGTCAAAATCTGAAATGGCACACAGGTTGACAGCTGTTGAACTAAGACAATATCTGAACGATTTCACTAGAGGTTTAGAAAAGGTTCCTCAACTTCCTGGAGCTTAAACCT